TCCCTCCCCTTCCCACTTCCCCGTTGGTAACCATAAGTTTGTTTTCTATGTCTGTGAGTCTGTTTCTGTTTTGTAAATAAGTTCATTTGTATTATTTTTAAGATTCCACATATAAGTGATATATTTGTCTTTCTGTGTCTGACTTACTTCACTTAGTATGATAATCTCTAGGTCCATCCATGTGGCTGCAAATGGCATTATTTCATTCTTTTTTGTGGCTTCTTTATCCATTCATCTGTTGATGGACATTTAGGTTACTTCCATGTCTTGGCTTTTGTAAATAGTGGTGCTATGAACATTGGGGTGCAGGTATCTTTTTGAATCGGAGTTTTTGTCGTTTCCGGATATATGCCCAGGAGTGGGATTGCAGGATCATATGGTAACTCTATTTTTAGTTTTTTAAGGAACCTCCATACTGTTTTCCATAGTGGCTGTACCAATTTACATTCCCACCAACAGTGTAGGAGGGTTTCCTTTTCTCCACACCCTCTCCAGCATTTATTATTTGTGAACTTGGTGAAGATGGCCATTCTGACTGGTGTGAGGTGATAACTCATTGTGGTTTTGATTTGCATTTCTCTAATAATTGTCGATGTTGAGCATCTTTTCATGTGCCTGTTGGCCATCTGTATGTCTTTTTTTTTTTAATTTATTATTTTGGCTGCGTTGGGTCTTTGTTGCTGCACATGGGCTTTGTCTAGTTGTGGCGAGCAGGGGCTACTCTTCGTTGTGGTGTGCCGGCTTCTCATTGCGGTGGCTTCTCTTGTTGCAGAGCACGGGCTCTAGGCACACTGGCTTCAGTAGTTGTGGTGCACCGGCTCAGTAGTTGTGGCTCACGGGTTCTAGTGCACAAGCTCAGTAGTTGTGGCACACGGGCTTAGTTGCTCCGCGGCATGTGGGATCTTCCCAGACCAGGGATTGAACTCGTGTGCCCTGCGCTGGCAGGCAGATTCTTAACCACTGCGCCACCAGGGAAGTCCTGTATGTCTTCTTTGGAGAAACGTCTATTTAGGTCTTCTGCCCATTTTTGATAGGGTTGTTGTTTTTTTGATATTGAGCTGTATGAGCTGTTTGTATATTTTGGAAATTAACCCCTTGTTGGTCGCATCATTTGTAAATAATTTCTGCCAGTCCATCCGTTGTCTTTTCGTTCTGTGTATGGTTTCCTTTGCTGTGCAGAAGCTTTTAAAGTTTCATTAGGTTCCATTTGTTTATTTTTGCTTTTATTTTTCTTGCCTTGGGAGACTGATCTAAGAAAATATTGCTACAATTTATGACAATGTTTTGCCCGTGTTCTCTTCTAGGAGTTTTATGGTGTCATGCCTTATGTTCAAGTCTTTAAACCATTTTGAGCTTATTTTTGTATATAGTGTGAGGTGTTTGTTACTGTAGATCCAGGCACCTGTGGAGCCTCAGTTTCTACACCCTTGAAACGGAGAGGCCCCTTCTTTGCTCTGCCCCTTCTCGAGACTGGGGTTTAGGTGAGATGTGAAAGAGTGAAAGAATGCTCTGGGGGCTGAGGAGGAGAAGTGGTTGTGAAGAAATACACATACAACACAAAATAAGATGGATAAGCACCTCCCCAAAGTGCAGGGCCAAGCCTCCCTGCTAGGCTGATGGGCGCCACCCAGAGGTCACCTTGGGTCATTGCATGGAGAGGGCCCCTGCCTCTCGGCCTGGGGAGTAATGCCAGCAGACAGGACCTGGGAGCTTCTGGTGGGCTGAACCTGACTGCTTGGCTGTTGGAGGGTGGCCCAGAGTAAGGAGCCCTTGCCCCCAAAGAGCAGCTCCCAGCCTGTCAGAGGGGCCAGAGTGTGCAGCCCAGATATGTGGGTTCTCAGCTCTTGTGTGGACTTTGAGATGACCCCGAGGCCAGGTGGGCAGGTGTACAATTTTTCTCCCTTTATGCATGAGGAAAGGAAGCCTCAGGAAAATGAAAGGGACTTCTTCACATTTCATAGCAAGAAAATGGCATAGCTGGGGGTGGAACTGAGGTCTGACCCTTGATATGAGCCAGTTTCATGCATACAAACAGTCCCAGTTTGGCGGGGTGGCGGGAGCTGAGTAAGGGCAGATGTCCTGGAGAAAGGTGAGTGTCTGACCAGCGCTCTGCCCTGCCTTGTCCCAGCAGGTAGGAATGTGCACTCGTCATGGTAAAAAGGCTCTCTGCCTTTTAACCTCCATCCCTCCAGCCAAAACTCTCAGAGCAGGGTTGAATGAACAGTTTTCTGTCTCCAGAATTTCCATTAGGGAATGTAAAATCCCAGATCCCTGTAATTATTTTAACAACAATAATGCCTCCTTTTACTTGCTCTTACTTTGCCCTCCCCTTCTCCTCCCTCTGCAGTGCTTATTATCTCACGATATCCTGGCAGCAGGGAATGAGTACTAACTAGCAGAGACTTGTCTGCAAGACCTGGTCTGCAGCCAGAACACTTCCCTGCAGCCCCGGCTTCTCACTTCCCTCCCTTGCTCCTTCTGCCTGACCAAGTGCCACCAAGGTTTTGTTGTGTTTTGTTTTACAGATATTTGGAGTTCATGTCAGGTTATCCATCGCATCCTCAAAGGGAAAATCACTGGTGCTTTGAACTTGGAGGTAACTGCTGGGTATCTACTGTTCCCCTCCCCTACCTCCCAAGGTCTCAGCTGCAGGCCCTGGCCTCGGCCTGGATGCTGCGGGTTTACCTGTCATTCCCTTAGAGGAAACAAACTGAAGTTGTCCAGGGGGTGTTGGGTGGACCACCTGGGGGCAGTCCTGCCTTCCCAATCAGATTTTCTCTTTCTCTTCCAGTTGCACATCCTGAAGTTTGAAGAGTTTAAATAACATGGCTACAATCGGCACGTTTCTTCTCTTGTCTAGATTCAGCCTGCTCTGCCCTTTCACTCTTGAGGCCTTGGGGGTGAAAAAGGCCACAGCGGTGCCCAGGATTGATTGGATTCCCCTTTGCCTTTCCCCCAGCTCACTTCTCAATTTGTCATGTGCCTTCCGTCCCCCAGCTCAGTGTGAACATTTGAACCAAACATGGGAAGCTTCCATGAGGTTGAAAGTCTGATGTAGCCGTTGTATTCTTTCCCGTGTCTCTTCTTTGTACCCTCAGAGCATGATATAAGTTGCCCTGACAGATTCTGGAGAATGGAGGGGCCCACTCTTTAATTTTCCTGGCATTCTGTCATAGAATCAGGTAGGGAGCACTTAAACATTGATGCATCGCCTTGGTGAATAAATGTTGGCATGCTTCACGTTTGGGGTGATCGATTCCTCTGTCTAGCCACCCCTCCCCAGTGCTGCCCTCTAAAACCGAAGCAGCGAGACTGGGAAGCTGTCGTGTGCCGGCCGTGCGGACGTTGCCTGGGATATAGATGCACACTTGCATACGGTATAAGTTTTGTGTCCTTTCTCTTTCCCTTCTTAGGGGACAGAACATTGGTTCAGGGTGAGGTGGCCTTGATTTTATTTATTTTTCTAATGCTGTGTAACTTCATTAGCAGCCTAATGTAAGGTTAGGAAAGGGACTGTTAGGTTTGACAAGAAAAGTGGAAGACTTTCTTTAGAGTTGGTGTTTATACAGCTATAGCGCACAGGAGCTGGTGCTTCCCTTTACATCAGGTGAATGTGGCTCCCATTATTTCCTTAAATAATTTGATTAGAGCCAAGCTATTTAAATAATTTTATTTGTTTCATCCTTTGGTAGATGAGAAAAATACATTACAAAATACATTATACTGAGGACAGATCACAGTACACATTACTAAAAACACAATCTACTTTCCAGCCAGGGCTGGTGATAAGTTCAGAAGAAAGCCTCGGAGGCCTTGAAAACCAGATTTCAGCTTCATGAAATAAGTCTCCCCCTTGGGTCCCCTCTTTATCTCCACCTCAGCATAAATTAGCACCCTGTATCAGGTGGGTGTGGTGGGGTAGGAGCAGCATTGAGTGGGACTGGTGAACTCTCCATCCACCTGAAGCAGCAAAACATTAAAATCCCTTAAAAGGGGGAGAAACGACCAATGTTAAAATTGCTGTGTCAGACAAAGCATTACAGAACTCTGGCATCTTACAGGTTCCCAGATGGCTGTCCGAAGTCTGGGCTTTCTGAGATGAGTGTCTTCACTTAGCCATCCCTGGCCTCTGGCGTTTGTCACCATCCAGTCTGTAGGCAGAGTAGGTCCAAAGAGGCTGCCTCTGCCTCAAGGCAAGCTCACTGACCAGGAGAGGCAGGCAGCGCATACCACATGCAAACAGTACGCCTGTACTTTTAAATAAGCAGGAACAGACATGGCACCTATGGTTCAGCTCAGCAGACTCCCCTCCCCAGCAGTTCTCAGAGCCTGAGGTAAGGACACAGGTATACAGACCAACCCCCTCAAAGCTGACTCTTTGCAGTAGGACCCACCTTATGAGTGCCTTAAAAGAATCCAGTCTCCAAGCCACGTGGCTCCTCTTTGATAAGACCAGATGAAGCAAGAGACGGGAGGGCGGAACAAGGGAGCTACCATCACCCTTCAGTGCCACTTGCTGGGAGGGAGGGGAACCAGTGAACACTGGAGTGTTAGCTACATAGCAAGTTGCTGAGACCAGAAAGGTCACATACATGCTTGAGGCTCTGCCCCCATCCCTACTCAGTTCATTTTAAAGTAGTTCTGTGAAGCAGCCTCTTAGGCCTCCTTGTTATTTTTTTCTTAGAAACTTGAAAACATCTGTGACTAGAAAAGTAGTCCTAAGAATTAAGGTCATCATTTCAGCCTACTACTTTGTGGTTCAGCAGGCCAGGCTCTGCATTCCCAGGGGTACAAGTGCTGGTCACTCCAGAGGCCTTCAGGGGCGAGCCAGGTGCGCGCTTCAGCTCCGCCTTTCTCTTGCTATAGCAGCGAAGCACAGCCCCTCATAGCTACCAAAGCCATGGAGGCCTTGGTGCCCCTCCCCCACTGCTCAAGTAGTTCAGGAGTGGGGGTGGGGTGGGACGTGGGGATAAAAATAAAGATGAGTCAAGACCAGCATCTTCAAATTAACAAACTGTAATTGTTTTCCCAAAGATACATTTTTTTTCATACACATCCATCATACACTGTAACCAAAAAAAGCAGTGTACATGAAATAAGAGAAAATAAATTAAAAATCCATAGCATAGGTAAGGAGGCTCTAGTCTGGAGCACAGCTGAGTTTCCAGCAATATAAGGAGGCTCGAAAGTTTCTTTTATAAGAATGCCTGCTAGCAAGGGTTCCAGCCAGGTGGTTGGTTGGTCTGTAAGTCAGTCTTGAGTACTTGAAACAGTTCTGTGTTTTTTTTTTTCCTTAGCGTTTAGAATAGCCATCATTGTCCTGCAATAGGCAGAGCTATCACGTCCAGGAAAAATGAGGGGGGGAACCACAGAGGCAGCGTGAGATCCAAATACAGCATTCAAAGGTAATTGGTCCAGTGGTGCCTGGGGAAGGAAGAAGGGGATGGCACTCCCGGGTTAGCCATCTTCCTTCGGGGGTGTGTACCAGCCTGCAAAGAAACCGAAGAAAACAGTGAGGTGGAGGCTGATGTCCACCCTCCCGGCCCCAGTCACTGAAGACATCTCCAGGGTCAAAGGTGGAAAGAGTCTAGAAAGGGCTCCCCAGTGCAGGGAGAAGGTGTACGGGAAGGTAAGAAACTGCCTACCTGGAGATTATAAGGAAAGGGAGAATGATGCGCCCAACCTGAGATGACAGCAGAGTGAGATGAGCTTTCTCACAGGGTGGTGGGGAAGAGGGGCAGCACTGAGTCTACCGGCGCTATGGACCGCTGGTGCTTTACTGGAGAAGAGGTGGCGGACGTTAGCCTCTACCTCACTGAGTTCTTTGGAGAACAGGGGCAGGTGCTGTGTTAATGGGTGGTAAACGCTCGGAAACCAAAAGGGGTTCTTGCTGTTTGGCTGGAAGTGGAAACCTCAGGCTTGGCAAAAGTCCGAACCTCGAGTTGTGGCGCCAGCCTCACCGTTTTTTTCGTGGATCTGCACCAAGGACTTGTAGGACTGCTGTGCTCTTGTCAGGCTGTATTGAGACTGGGGAGAAGAAGCCACTAAATCAGGCCACCAAGCTGTGGCCCTGTTGCCACCCAGGAGTCCCAGCTCCCAGCGCCATGCTCTGCTGACACACCAAATACCTTCCACCTGGGAGGTCCCCTCAGGGCACAATCCCCTAGCTTTCCCTTTCCAGACCTGCACCCTCCCCAAAGTCCTAGGCTGCCCCTCAGACCAAGGCCCTGCTCCTGTTCCCACTGCGGCCATCCCAGGACCACTCATCCGATGCTGCCAGCCCACAGATTTTACCCTCTCAGTCCCTAAAGGAAGGCCGCCTTGGCCTCCTCGTGGCCTAAAGCGCGTATGTCTCCAGCCAGTCCCACCAGGCCCAGGTCCAGGCTCCTTACTTTGTTGGCTCCAAACTGCACTCGTGCTTTTCCCTTCACCAGTGTGGCACTGATCTGCATGATCACTGACTCTATTGAGTAGGCACTGCTCCAGCCCTAAGTAACAACAGGGACAAAGCAAACAAGTCAGGAGAGTTTCCAGAGAAACCTTATGCTTGTTCTCCAGAGAGCAGCTGCACCTATAGAAGGGCCCCTGCCCTTCACTCCCAGAATGGCCATCACCTGTTTGCCCAGGTCAGTGGGTACAGGCCCTGCGAGGCAGAATGAAAGGGCCACGTTGTGCCCATCACCCAACCCGGGGGTGGGGGTGGGGGTGGGGGTGGGGGGGAGGGTGGTTAAAGCTCAGCCTAGCCCTGCCCAGGCCAGCCAGGCCAAGAATGAGAGGCAGGCTCACCTGCTTGGTGAGAAGTTCCATGCAGATGGCACCTCCGCCCAGAACATACCTGTAGAAGAAAGGTTAGTCAGCTGTGACTGGCAAAAGCTCCCTACCCTTCCTCACCCTCTGCGCTTACTGAGCTACTCACCCTCCGGACAGGACTGGAGACACAACCCTGACAAACGGCGGGTCAAAGGGAAAGTTATCCTAAGAGAGACAGAGGCAACGATCAGGGAGGGGAGGCCAGTGCCCTCTGCAACACTGTAAGATGGAGAAGGAAGCCTAGGCCAGGGACGGACTTGAAAGGAAGACCTTACTTTAAAAGAAAAGTTTAGTAGGATGAAGTCAGCTCCTTCCTTCTCTTTGAGGATCTGGAGATCGTTGTGCAAAGCGCTGTCCTGGTCAACTCTAGGAAGCAACGAGTTCAGGCTCAGCTCCAGGTCCAGCTCAGGAGCCTCAAGGCTCCCACCAACCCTGGGCGAGCAGCAGAGGGCCAAGCCACTGCCCACACCCGCTCCCTGGGACGGCCCCGGAGACTCCCACCACAGTGGCTCCACTCACTACTCAACTTCTTTTCTAATCCCACAGTCCCCACTCACTTGAGGAGTTTGACGTTCCAATCATACAGACTGTCATTCACGAGTTCGACTGCATAGTTTCCTGGAAGGAGGGAAGAAGATGGGTGTCATTAGATGATGGTCCAAGTGGCAAGTGGTCCCTGATGCAGATCCCTCTCCCATGCTGAGAGAAAAAAAGGTCAAAGGCTCCAGGTTCACCCCAGACAGACATGCATCCAATCTAAGCCACTGGAGTGGGGGTGTTCCGTCCTTGGCCTGAAAACTTCCTAAGCATCCGTGCATCTGCTGCCACCATCATGTCCTTCTTTATGAGCTCACGTTCAGGCCCCTCTCTGAGGCAAACTCACCGCCTTTGAAACTCTGTGATCGGTATATATCCCTGAGCTCCTTCATCAGCCGGTCAGTAGCCTGCACCGAGCCAGACACCGCACCCTACAAGGGAGGGATGGAGGACAGAACATCTCACGGCCATGTGCTTAGCAACACCGTACTAGACCTCAGGAGCAGTCTGGCAGCCAGGATTTAGGCAAGGATGAGGCACACCCATAACCCACCCAAAGTGGATTCTGTTCCCCAGACTGATACTCAATGCCTACCACCTCCCAGCCAGCACCAGCCGACCCCTTGGCCCAGCTTCTCCCTAGAGGGCACGTACATTTAAGTAATCTTGCCTCTGGTTCTTTTTAATTTTCTCTAGTATGGCCAAGTTTTCTTTTCCGATGCCGTCATCTTCAGATTTCTTACCCTCAGCTGGCTCTTCTTCTTTCATTTCATAGTGATCTAGGTCTTCTGTGTCCTGGGGGAGGTGTGGGGTGGGAGTGGGATAGAGGAGGAAAGAAACCAACACATGTTGTGGAGAGGGGCCATCGCCTTCCCAGTCCCACTTGACCTACAGCTGCAGGTCAAGGAACAGTAGTCTATCTGGCAGGCTAATGAGTAAAATACCCTTTCCACTGCTGCAAGACTCCCAGTCCCATTCCCTCCACACTCTAAAGGCTGTGGCAAATCTCTCCTCCTATTCAATTCTCAAGCTGCAGAGCTGCGTAAGGGCCTAGGGAAACCGAGCAGGCTCAGCTCTCTTGTTCCCCAGACCTACCCTGCTCCAACCATCCCTAAAGCTCTCCCTTGGCAGCAGAAACTCTTCCTTAATTCCTAGAATGACTTTGGCCTGATGCTGTGACTCAAAGCTCATGTTTCATCAGGTGACTTTTGTACCCAGGAGTTCCCAGGACTCCAGGTCTAAAGGAGAAAGCTGGATCAGAAATCTCCTGCCTTCCCAAGTGCTGGGCCTGATGAGGTATGCAGAGGTACCCAGTGCCAAGGTGGAAATAAGGAAGGAGGTCCAGAAAGGCAGATGGTAGAGGTCAAGAACAGAATTAGTCCCTATTTGCCCTGCTCTAAGTGAGGAAGTAGCTCACTGTACATGGGGGAGGAGCCTATAGCCAGGATTCAGCCCCTCTCAGTCAGACTTGGGAGGGCTGTCTGCTGTCTGAGAGGAGAATGTTTCAGGTATCCCCAGCCCTTTGTGAGGCTTAAGACCCTGACAGAGTTACAGAAGTTGCAGAACCTGGGATGTTAATTCAGTGCAGAGAAACAAAGTGATCAGTGACCTCACTCTAGCAAGATATGTTAATACTAACCTCCTAATTACTACATTAATTGTTGATATCTACTGAATGTTTAATTATATGTCAGGTACCATACTAGATGCTATACACACTAGCTCATTTAATTCTTATAACCACCATGCCATTATTCTATCATTACCCCGATTTTACAGATGAGGAAGCTGAGATCTAGGTGAGGTTGTTATTATGCCCAAAGTCATACACCTCTTAATAGAGCTAAGATGTGAATCAAATTCTGTCTCACTCTGAAGTTCAAGTTCTTAACCATTATGCTATATTCTGCAAAATTATGTTTTTAGAAAATAGATAAATTATTTAGCATTTATCATGTACTGAATGGAGCATTTTACATGCAATCCCTTATTTAATCTTAAAGACAACCCTATGTAGTAGCTGTTATAATCACATTTTATAAATAAGCAAAACTGCAGCTTAGTGAGAGTAGGTACAATTCCCCAATTAAGAGAGTTAGGAGATACAGGATGCCAGCTCAGGTCTGACTACAAAGCCATCTGCGATTAACTTCTTGACTGTTCAGTGTAAACAGATTTGCACTTAACTGTCTTCAGTGGTTGGATATGGGTGCCCTGTCTCTTCCTCTACTATACTGCTGTTCCTCCAGGTGAGTAAATCTGTCTTTATTTCCTTTGGTATTTTTCTCTCCCCAGGTCTAGACTGGAGCTCTGTACACAGCGGGGACTCAATGCTGCTGACAGAAAGAGCTTCCTACCAGTGCCGCCTTGGGTGGAAGCCTACCTCAGGCATCTCTTCATCTTCATCTTCCGAAGATACATCTTCCTGTGTACACTGCAGTGGGGAGGGAAAAGAGGGAGATCAGACCCCGGTGGTTTCCTAGAATGCAGCCTCTGACCTACTCCCCTGAGCCTCTGGGTCTGGAAGCTGTGCGCCTGGCCATAATGCTACCAGCCTCTCCATCAGCCAGAACTGAGTGGAAGCAACAGCCTAGGGAATGACTTCACTACCGGCCCATTATTCCTCTACCACCATATGCCAAAGAATAAAAGAGAAGCACAATAGCTGTTTCTGTCACCTAACTCACAAATCCCAGTTTTACCTCAAGAACCCCTCCTTTACTAAATCATCTCTAGACTGATACTGCATTCTTGGATCTTAACAAGGGACCTTGGTCCCCAATGGCTACCTACTGCTAATGATAAAAATCCCCCCATGAGGGATGATCCTACCCAGAAGAGTGAGTTTTGATCAGAGAGGTGAAGCTACTAGTGCCCCATTTAGCTAGATTCCCATCTGGAGAAGAGGCCAAGAGTCACGATATGTGTACGTGTTTGGAGTAGGGCTGGAGAGAAACTACTGCAGGTTCATCTGAAGTAACATGCATTTTTTGAGTGCTATCTGTGGGGCAACTCTGCATAACAGGGTCCAAAGCCCCTCCGTTGCTCACCTGCTCTGCTGGCAAGGGCTGATCCAGCATCTCCACATCTGGATGCTGAGGGAGGTTATAGAGTTTACACAGGTCGGAGATGATCCTCTTCAGATGCTGCAATAGCTGGGGGTAGGGGACCACAGTGACATCAAACACTCCTTCCCCACCCCAATCTGGACAGGTACATGGGTGAGCTCTTGTCTCAGCCCCCAAACTGGTACCTAGTTCTCTAAAACTCAGACCATACGGCCAGGGGGAGGAGCTTAGGGGACGAACCCTGGGACTGGTGCAAGGCTCTCCCTCTGGCTTTAGGAAGCAACTCCCCTAAGACGCCTGCCTCAAATGTACAGGCTACTGCACCACCCACTTTCCAGAGGCATCTTTCACAGGATGTTTTCATGGCATGGGTGTCACAGGAGGAAAATGCACTCCCACCTCAACACCCTGGCCCCCTCACCAAAGTATTCCCTTTCTTTATGTCCACCAGCCTCTCCAAGACAGCAGCCAAGTTAGGGTCATCGGACTCCACTGACCAGATGGGGGGCACAGCAGGGTATGACTCCTAAGGGGAAAAGAACAGGGAGAGCAGTCAAGATGGGAGACTGGGGAAAGCTAGATTTTGCCTGCCTTCCACGCACCAAGACTTCTAGTCCCTTTGCTCTCCACCGTCCCCCCGCCCCTCTCCCCCCAAACACACACATACAAGCCCAGCGCAGCAGGTCATTATCTAACCAAGCAGCTTCCCAACAAATCCCAGACCAGGAGAAAAAGTCCCTAGGAGGACCCTTTCCAAGAAGCCGGGTCCCTTTCTTTATTTTCTCAAGAGTAAACATCAGAGAAAGCAGCAGAGCCAAACCCTGCTAACAGTGAGGGAGACTTCCTATCTCCTGTGCTGTCTCTACAAGTTCCAGACCTGAAGTTCTCCCACACTCAACAGAGGCCCCTGACCCTCCTTAACCAGTTGAGGAAGGGATCACCTCATCACAATCACACTGACAGAAAAAAAGCAAAGACCACAGATTACTTTCATTTTAGCTGGGGAAGGAGGGATTAGAAACTAGATGTCTCCAGAACCTAAACGTAAAAGGGTAGCAGGAAGAATCTTCCCACCTCACTCCCAACAGAATCCCTCAAAGGCCACTTCTCCCCACCTCTCCCTTGGGAAACTGCCACCCTCTCAGTCCAGGCGTAGGCTGTAGGGCTCCACATGGCAGGCTGGGAGAAAGAAACCTACGCTACTAACATTCCCAGCATTCCTGAGCCACCGGTGCCAAATGCAGCCTGACCAGACTCCCCCTCTGCCCAAACCAAGGGGGCCAGTTCAGGCCAAGTCTTCTTTATAGGGGCCACAGAAAGTCTGACTGAAAATCTTCTAACTAACCTCCTTCCAGGGACAAAGACAGTAGATGGCCTCTGGCAACTGGGAAGGCAGCTAGAAGGGGGCAAACCTACCCTTAAGGAACTGGAAGCATAATTCAGGTACCAAATCGACCCCTGAAGTTTCCACATATGCCGAGGAAACCTTATCCTCTTCTACCAGGGGTCTTAACTCTGCCATGGCTCTAATCCTCAATGCTGGAGGAAAACAAATTATCAAAGATGCTCAACTCTTCAGCTCACGGAACCACACCGAGTCCTTCAATCTCAACTTTTTAGTACAAGAAAAGATGGGAGAGGAAAATGGAACACACGAGTTTTGGGGGCAGGGGGAGACCATCCAACCCAAGCTGAGGCTTGCCTCATCAAACCTTGACCTGGTTTGATGGAAGAAAGGGATAGAAAACAAGAACCATGTAAATTGAATTCAGGCCCCAAAGTGCCACACAGTTCACAAGTCTGTCTTTCCCCAGACTACTCCCATTTGCAGTGTGCCTGCCTGGATTAAGTACTGTCTCCTGGCTTGCTATCCAGTGCTCCCAGCAGGGCGAGAACACTATCACACCAGGTGGTATCAATCACTGTAAGTGCTATACCATGCGGTATCAGGCATTCCCAGATTATCAGAGGCCAACCCTCTTCACAGGATGTTTGAGGGCAGCCTAGGCAGGAGAGGTAAGGTGTCTCCTAGTCCTGCATGCCTAGGATGGAATGATGTTCACTGAGAGAAAAGGAACTGTTACCCCCCAGAATAAATGGGATAGCCCTTGCACATCACCATCATTAGCAGGAAAGGCAACAACCCAGGGCAACTGGAGATATCCATAGAGAACAGGAGGAGAGTGGCAGCTACCAGCTGGGGCAAAAGGAGGAGAGTTAGAGGTTACACCAGAATAAAAGGGAATCCAAAGGAGAGGAAAAAGAGGAGTCACTAAACTGCACACCATCACTTGGTAAAATTCAGAGAGCAAAGAGGAGTGGAATGAGAGATGCCTGCGCAGGGATCTCACAGGTGGCAACGTCCTAAATCAAAGGTACTACTGAGAAAGGGGCATCACTGAAACCTGCAGAGTTCCAAGCCAGGTCCTTCCAGCTAAGGTCAATGCAGAGACCTGGAATCTGAAGATGATAGTGGTGGGGAGAGGAGCATTCCCAGGGGTCAAGGTTAAGTCGTGAAGTAGCCAAAATGAGCCAAAATCATGAACCTTGGGATGTGGGTGGGTTAGTGAAAAGGGGTAGTCGAGGCGCCATATGTCGGGGTGTCCCTGACCATGAAGAGTAGAGATTCTGGGTGCACAGCAGAAACAAATGTAACCTGGAGAAAAGGAGCCGAGCCCCGAGAGGGGATTCGACCTCCCAGGTCTTTCGAGAGCAAAAAGCTGTGTGGGGTGATCCTGAGTCCCAGACAAGAGCCCCCCTGAGACGCGCACGCGAGGGTATCCTCACCGTGATGTTGCAGTGGATGCGGACGGGATCTCCAGGCACCGACCCCCGTGGGGGGAGATGCGGTCCGGGCGCGGCCCCCGCCCCGGCCCCTCCGGCCCCAGCCAGCAGGAACTCGCAGCTCAGCTCGTCCAGGCAGGCGCTGGCAATGCGGAAGCGCTCGTGGCCGCGGTGGAAGATGGACTCGAGCAGCTTCAGCTCCCGCCTCAGGCAGGGCCCCGGCCCCGGGCCCCCTCCCGGGCCGCCCCCGGCCCCCGGCGCCGCCCCCTGGCCCCCCAGCTGCTGCCCCGGCCCCGGGTGCTGCTGCCCCTGCGGCTGCGGCTGCTGCATCCTCCGCTCCGCTCCGCTCCGGGGCCGGCGGGCCGGGAGCCTCCGGCCTCCGCTCCGGGCTCCGCCGCCGCCGCCGCCGCCGCCGCCGCCGCGGTCCGCACTTCCTGATCCCCCCTTTGCCAAGATGGCGCCGCCGCCACCTCCGGGACAGGGCCCCCCCCCTCCGCTCTCCGGCCCCCCCAGCCGCCGGAAGCCGCGCGCCCCTCCTCCTCCTCCTCCTCGGCGGCCCCGCCTCCGTCCCCCCTCACGTGACCTCGCTGCTCTGACCTCCCTCACGTGACACCTCTCTCCTTCCCGCCCCCTTGTTCTCCCCTGCCACCCTCCACATGTGACCGGGGGCTTCGGGCTCGCAGCTTTCAGCGCCTCAGTGCGTGTTTACGTACGGCGTACGTGCGTGCGAGCCACGGGTCTCGCCGCCTCTCCCCTCTCACGTGACCCGGCGCCGCGTGCTCCCAGGGGCTACCTGCGCGGGACCCTGTTTCCTGCTTTGGGCCCCTCTTCCCTCGCCCTGAGCCGCTGTGAAGGTGCCGGGCGCTAGGTGGGCAGAAAAGAAAGTGGGAGAGCTGCGGACGACGCTGTACCGTATTTATCCTGCGCTCACACGCCTGTCCTCGGCGCAGGGTCCCTGATGCTTTGCCCCCTTGGGGACACACTGAAATGAGGGGCGTGTGATTGGGGAAGGAACCAGGGACCCAGTTACAGGAGGCTTGGGTTATCGGACGTTCCGAGACCGTGGATTAACCACCTTCCCTCAGTTTCCTCATCTGTACGATGACTTTGATGAGGATAATAATGCTTGCCTCGCCTGCTCCCAAGGATTGGATGCGAGGAGATCACGAAGGGATCGGTGGTCAATTAATGTACGACGGGTAGACGATAGCTCACTCTTCGCGCTTATCAGATTCCTTGGGTCTGGACGAGGGGGGTGGGGAGGGACGACACGGGCTTCCTCTGCCGGGTCTTGAAAGGAGAGCAGCACTAGTCTAAACCACTAACCAGGCAATAAGATGAAAGGAGACCACAATCCCAGTCCCAAGTCTCACCGGCTAACACCTTGTCGCAGTGGTCCTGGCATTGCCGGGAGTGCGCGGCAGTGCCTCCGGGACCTCGCTAGGTGGCACTATCACAAAGGACAAAGCTGGCTGAGGTTCCTCTGCCAAGGGCTGGTGTTAGCCCGTGGTAGGGCCTGATGGATTCTACCGAGCCAACTCGGCGCTTGAGAAGCTGGCCGGATTGCCACCTTCTCCTTTCACTTGGACTGAAATGAGTTAGCCTTTGTCGGAAGCTGACTGTGCACCTCGGTTCTTTGTGCTGGGCTATTCATTTATATTGTCAGTGGCGGTTGATAAAGGCCTTTGACTAAGCTGGGCTCTGGGTATTCAAAGGTGATTGAGATGTGTTCCTGGTCCTCCTGGGGCTATTTATCTCCTTTGGGGAGGCTGAACAGTTAGCTACATGTCACCTCTGTGTCTCAATGTGCAAGTTGAGGGCATAAAAGGCTGTGGTAAGAATTCCCGTTAATTGAACTATATTCAGTATCTTGTAATAACCTATAATAGAAAATAATTTGAAAAAGATATATATTGATATATATCTGAATCACTTTGCTGTATACCCAAAACTAACACAGTATTGTAAATCAATTAACATCAATTTAAAAAGAATTCCCGTTTACTGAGCACTTCCTGAGTCAGGGTATCCTGCAAATATTTCTAACCCACCACCCCCCACCCCCCCCCCCAGCCAGCAACATTGCAAGGGAAGCATTTTTATCCCTGTTTTACAAGAGGGGAAAAGGAATGACTGCCCAAGGATTTACAGCTAGTAAGGAGAGTTCCTGGGCATGTCTCCAAAGTCCATGCCTTACCCATCTCTGCTTTCCTCTGATGCTTTCTCAAGAAGTTTTCACATGTCCACTGACTCTAGCCCTTACCCAAGAAAACCACATATGCAGCCATTTGGAAGATCCTGAATTCCATATTTTATAAAGAGTTTTAATTACAAGAAAACAACATGATGAGACAGTCTCACAATGTTGCACAGACTCTAAGGCCCCCAGGGAGGAAACTCAAGTCGTGGTCACTGGGATGAGCTCAGTCTCTTCCTCTGCTGGTGTGTTCAGCATTTCAGCTCTCTGGCTGGGAGAGTCCTCTGGCATCTAGAAGCCTAGTGGGGAGTCATACCTGGTGTTCTGCTGAGATGTGTAGGGCAGGGGCATTAGAAATGGAAATGAAGTTATGGATATATTAATTTAATGAACACTTGTGTGCTAGGGGAACAGGAGTGAATAAAACAAAAAAATCCCTGCCCTCGAAGCTTACATTCTATTGGGGGAAACAGACATGATAACGGTGGAGTTGACAAAGCAAACTCATTAAAGAAGAACAAATAATGTACTGAGCCTCTGTGACACGTGACACACTGGGAATGCAGCACTGAGCGAGACAGACCCAGTCTTCACCTTTTCCATGTATTCAGGCTGGGAGAAAGTCAGATACTTCATGAGTTGTTTGTTACACACCCATCCACTTAATTGCAGTTATGGTAAGTGCCTCAAAGAACAAGCCTAGAGATCTGGGAAGGCCTCCCTGAACAAGTGATATGCTAAATTCTGAAGGGTAAGTAGAATTACCTAAGGGAGGAGAGGCTGGACACTGTCTGAGGCAGAAGGGGTGGCATGTGCAAAGGTACTGAGGTAGGACTGGAGCAAGATGGAGGAACGGAAAGTAGGTCTGTGTCTAGGGTGAGGAAGAGAGTGATGCAGGTAAGCTAGGCAGGGGTTAAGTCTTGGCAGATATTCAAACCCATGTTTAGGAACTTGGGCTTTATTTTAAGATGCAGGAAGATCAAAAAGTCACTAGAATTTTGAGAGGCTCTGGATGCCTGGGTAACTAATGGTAGTAGTGCTAACAGAGGGTAAGACTTCTCAAAGGAGAGCTAAACTTTGTGGGAAAGGTGGAGAGTTATAAACATATTGAGTGTGTGGAGGGAGGGCGACGTGGACAATCTCCCGGACATGCAGTGGGGTGTGGGTTCTGAGTTTGGGAGAGAGGCAGAGCCATAGGTGTTAACGAGAGAGTCAGCTACAGCTCTCCTTTGAATTAGACCATAAAGGGGGCAGCACAGCTGAGTGGAAAGAGCATAGACTGGGGAGTCAGACAGAACTGGGTTTAGATTTGAGCTTCTCTGCTTTGGTAGCTCTGTGACCCTGGGCAAGTTATTTAATTTCTGTGAAACGCAGTTTCCTTATCTGTAAAATGGGTATGACACTCTGACTTGCAGCGTGGGTCATTGTGCCAGTGTAGATGAAATGGGATATGCAAGATGATTAACACATCTTACAGTGCTGGGTACATAGTACATTGCTCAGCAAATGCTAAACCCTGCAACTGCTATGGTTACTGTTACTGCCACAAAGTCAAGAGGTACTCACCATTCAATAAACATTTATGGGGCTTTGTCATGTGTCAGACACTGGTCGAGGTATGAATATACAGCAGTAGACAAACAGTATCCCAGCTCCCATGGCACTTACATTCTAAGTGCAAGGAGTTATGAATAAAATAACCAGAGGAATATCAGACTGGCAAGTAGAGGCAAGGAATTAAAGTAGGGTCATGTGGGAGAGAATGACTGGGGGTTACTTTAAGTCCAGCAGTCAGGGAAGTTCTCCCTAGGGAGGTGGGGTTTGAGGTGAGATCTGATTAAGAGAAGGCAGGCCTGGGAGGAACTGGCAAAGAGCATTCCATCAGGGAGAGCCAACCTCCAAGACACTGAGTGAGAACAAAGGTGGCGTGGTCTAGAAGCAGGAAGCTCATGATATACCGGCTGAGAGCATGGGCTTTGAACCCCAGCTCTGCCAGCTGCTAGTGGTGTGACCCTGGGCAAGTTCCTTAGCCTGTCATGCTTCACTTTCAGCATCTCTAACATGGAAACCACCCTACCTCATAAGGTTGTTGGGAGGATTACGTGAGATAACACATGAAAAGTGCTCAGTCCAGTAAGAGCTCATTTTTAAAAAAATAGAGGATCAGCATAGCTTGAGTCTCATGAAAGAAGAGAAAGAGGGGTAGGAGATGAGGCCAGTGAAGAATAGAGACCACAGTAAGTTGTTGGGTTTTATTCAAAGTACAGCGGGAAACCACTGAAAGATTTTAAGCAGGGAGTGGCATGATCTGATTTAAAATATTAAAAGATCACTCTGGAGAATTCCCTGGTGGTCCAGTGATTGGGACTTGGTGCTTTCACTGACGTGGGCCCAGGTTCGATCCCTGGCGGGGGAACTAAGATCCCACAAGGCAAAAAAAAAAAAAAAAAAAAAAAATCACTCTGGCTGCTCTATGGAAAATGAATTACAGAGATTTTTTTTTTCTTCTCCAAAAGGTCATGTCTTATCAGAGTGAACAGATGCACTTGTTTTGGGCAGAGTGAGCAGCCTTCTCCTTTGAGTTGCTCCCAGAAGTACAGCATTCTGTCACTGACTCAACAAACGCATCCTGAGCACTTGCTCTTTGCCAGGAACTGTAATAAACACTGGGAGTGCAGAGACAAGTAAGCTCAGTCCCTGTGGGGAGAGCCTGGCTTGATTCCTGGCTCCGCACATGACAGCTGCTACTCATGTTATCATTTTTGTTGTATTTCTTACCCCTGCTCTTAGGAGCAGGTGGTAATGGATGAAGTAGAGCCAGATGTAATCAACTGTAATACAATGTGACAAATGCAATAACAGGGATGAAGGAGGGTGAGGGCCTTGAAGGGTGCTAGTAGTCAGGATTAACTCCCAAGAAAGAATGTGAAAGTAGAAGTTACTTAGATGGAAATGGGGGGATGTTTTTAAAGAACTGGCCCTAAAGTAGAAGGAGGTTGGGCAGAAATGCCTAAGACAAAGGAGGAATGACTTAGGAGAAGAGGGGAAGAGGACAAGGAAGGGGCTCAGCACAGGCAAGATCGTAGAGGTGTTGGTCATGGGTGCTTTAGCCTGGGGCCCCAGGGTAACCCTAATAGTATCAATCCTTCTGGAGGTCAATTTAGCAATAAATGATTAAATAATCAAAAAAATAAAAAAACCTTTGACTCAGCAATTTCACTTGGAAACTATTAAAGGTATGTGCAAACATTTACCTATAATGGAATACTATGCAGCTGTTAAAAATAGTTATCAAAGGGCTTCCCTGGTGGCGCAGTGGTTGGGAGTCCGCCTGCCGATGCAGGGGACGTGGGTTCGTGCCCCGGTCCGGGAGGATCCCACATGCCGCAGAGCAGCTGGGCCCGTGAGCCATGGGCGCTGGGCCTGCGCGTCCGGAGCCTGTGCTCCGCAACGGGAGAGGCCACAGCAGTGAGAGGCCCGTGTACCGCAAAAAGAAAAAAAGTTATCAAAGAATAATTATTGGTATAGAGAGATGTTTCAGAAAGAGTAAATGAAAAAGGAAGGTTACAGAGTTATTTTACAGTGTGCTCCTTTTTAAAAAGTAAATGAAAATACATATATTTGTACACCCAAAACATGAACAAGAATGTTCATAGCGGTATTATTTTTAATAGTCCGAAAGAGAAAACAACCCAAATTTCTATCTGGCGGAATGGATAAACAATGGTATATTTATATAGTGGAATAGTCTACAGCAGTGAAGATGAATGAACTACAACTACATTCAACAATGCCCTTGATTCTTACTAACATAGTGTTGGGGAAAAAAAAGAAAACCCACAAAAGATTATGATTCCATTTATATAAAATTCATCAGGCAAAGTTGATCTATGCTATTAGAAGTCAGAATAGTGTTTACTTTTTTTTGGTCATTTTTTTTTAATTGTGAGAAAATACATAACATAAAATTTATCATTTCAACCATTTTAAAGTGTGCAATTCCGTGGCATGCAAAACATTCACAAAGTTGGGTAACCATTACCTCTCTCTAGTTCCAGAACTTCAAGCAGTACCTCTTAGGCAGTCACTCCCCATTCCTCCCTCCCCCCCATGACGTTATTTTCCAAGAGGAGGGAATAATGCCTGGAGGGAACAGAGTGGGGGGGTTCTGGATATTGGTAATGTTCCCTTTTTAAAAAAATCTAGGTGGGAGTTACACGGCTGTGTTCATGTTGTGAAAATTTATCTAGCTGTACACTCATAATTTATATACTTTTTGCATGTATATTATATCTAAGTACACATAGATAAATGTGGAGATACACTGTATAGATATGAAATGTTAACAGCGATTGTTTTGCTAGGAGGTAAGATTATGAATCTAGTTTGTGTTTTGCTAACTTGTGTTTTCCAATTGCTCTTTATGGATATGTATTACTCTGGTAGTAAGTTTTTAAATTTAAAATATCTTAAAGGAAAATAACATTGTAATGCCTTTCAAGAGAAAATGTTCCTTACCATCAAAAGCACTGGGATTGTCCCACCAAAACCTTGCCTGGTCACTATTTTGCCTGAGGGCTGATACTCCTTTATGTATCCATCACCCTGCATGGTTCTGGACCTGTCCTATCTCCCTGGTGGATATGGAAGGGGTGTGTGTGAGAGACATGAGGGAGTGAGGAATGGTGTTCCAGTTCTCCTTGGCCACTGAGTGGTTGTGCTCAGATGACTCACTCCCTGCCAGGCTGGAATTAAACTTGAAATAAAAGCTGGGGAATTTGAAAAGAAAAGGTAGAGGTCAAGGTGAACAGGCTGCCCTGACTGACCTGAGAGGAGCATCAGGGAGTGACCAAGGGCTTCAAGCAAGCACATGACTCTCCAGTCTATCAATACAGAGACAAGCAACCACTCCAGAGAGAGATTTTCATAACAGAAGACTTTCACAGCCTTCTTCAATCACCCAGCTTCCACCAAAAGATGAAAGTACTAAGTACTATCTACATGTAAAGCTCCCTGTCTCTCTCTTTCAGGAGTTTGAATGCCTTTTATCCACCTTTGTCTTACTGGCTTTCTCATCTTTCCAATCTCAATTTTCATCTCCATCCCCTCCAGGCTCTCAGGCACTATGAACCCCTTTCTCCTCTGTGCTTCCAATGCACCTTGTTTATACTCTACTAGCGCAGCCACCGCATGGTGTAACAAGTCTTTGCCACCAGACTGTGATCTCCTTAATAGCTGGGACTAGGTCTTTTTGATCACTGCTTCAATACCCATACAGTAGATACCCAACAAATGTTGATCTGAATTACTGAAGGGGGTGTCTTCTTCCCATCTCTGACCCTTTTCCAAAGTGGAGTGACTATACACATTCCTTCCCTTTTCCTTAAGGCTTTTATTCTCTACATCTTTTGTTGGTTCCAAGATTTCGTGAATTCTTAAGAGATGATTACATGCACATGCCCTGGAGCTTGTAGTGCAGCTTTATGGCCACTTCCATGTGCATTATGGGGCCTGTAGTCATCCCACATCCTCTCCAGCCCTTTGCTGATACTTGTCTTGCTTTTCCTCCTCAATTCCAGGAACTAAGTACATGTAAATAAATTGCTTTTGGCTGAGCTTTTAGAGAGGAATTTTCCTCTACATGTTAAAAGATTTCAGTCCTATACCAGCCCTTTTCCTTATCTGTTGAGCCCTCACAACATGCCAGACACTGTGCTGGTTCATGATCTAGCAGGATAGCCACCACCTTCGATTGATTTATTTACTCATTGATCATCCTCTGGAAACAGCTGGCAGGGCACCTGACCTAATCTTTGGTCAGGCATAGCTTCCTTGAGGAACTGACGTTTCTGCCACGTGTACAAAGTAAAGTAGAAAGTGGTTGAGGGGAAATGGGTGATAAAAGAATCAAGGAAACTACATGTTTAAAAGGCCCTGACGTGTGGAGGCTGGGAGGATCTTAAAGACATTGCCAAGAGGAGTGTGGGGCTGGGGGTAGTGGCCCAGAGGAGGTTGAAGAAGTGGGCAGAGCTGGAATAAGACAGTGCCTTGATGTATGCATAATAAGGCTGCTTTAGTCAGGAATCTTTTGGTTGAAAATGACAAAAATCCCCCTAAGAAGTTCAGGGCTTTCAAGATCAAAGATGTCATTGAGTTTTGACATCTCTCTCTGTCTCTGTCTCATCTTTGCTTTCCTTTGTGTTAGCTTCATTCTTGGGCTGGCCTCTGTGAAATCATCCTCTGATCCTCCCTTGTCTCACAGAAGCCAAAGACTGGAGAGGAAGGGAATGTGGGTGAGAAAGACTAATTGATAAGGGCCATTTACCCTTCCACTCTTGAAGGTCACCTTCTTTCAGGAGATGTCCACATGTTCCCACCTTAGATTCCCTGGGGGAGGGCAGGAAGCTTGGCCTTCTACGATGGTAGAGAAGGAACCAGGTGAGGGGATCCTGTTTCCAGACTCCAAAACGGTTTGCTTTCTTAAAATAGCAAACCTACAGCCCCCTGTCTCTTTCTCTAAGGGCCTAAAATGCACTTTTTTGGCTGCATCCTCAGCCTTCCCTGGAAGCAGGATCATTTGGGCTTGGTAAGAGAAAAGAAATAAGGTGGGAACTCCAGAAACTCCTTCCGACTCCCACCCCCTCATTCTGGCCCTCGTAGCGGGTCCTGACCTATTTGTCTTACTCGCGCTTTCTTCCGGAGCCTTTTCAGACCCCTCCAGGGTCCTGTTCCAACTCAGGGGCTTCAGCACTCCTCCACTGTCCGGTGAGCCGCCCTTCTTCCGCCTCACGCACACCCTAACTAAGCAGGACCAGCAGAAGAATACCCAACCCAGGGACCCCTTTTATTCTGAGCTCTGGCGCTTCCGCCTCCGGGGCGGAGACTCCTCCCCCTCACCGTCCCAATTGTATTCCCTGGAAGAGCAGCCGGAAAAGCCTCCTCCTGCTCAGACCGGGATAAACGAGACGCTGGTTCCTTCTCGCAACCAGCTCTCTGAGCCCTGGGAACCGCCGTGGCGGTCGGCACTGCAGCACCAAAGGCTGCGAGCACAACCTGGGCTCAGCTCCAGCTGGGCGCGGGCGGTGCGGGAGCGGCTTCAGCACCACGGACAGCACCCCGCCCGCGGCCCTCCGGCCTGCGGCGCGCTTCGGCAGCTTTAGGCGAGCCGGCGAGCTATGCCAGAGGCATGGCCTGGCGCTCGGGCCCCATGGCGCTGCTCCTCAGCTTTGGCCTCCTCGGGCTGTGCTCAGGTAAGGACAAGTCGCCGCGCTCTGTCTCACTCAGTCTCGAAGGTGTACGGGAGGGATCCCTAAGGCGGGGAGTCTGTTAGTGGTTAGGGAAGAGACCCCTGGACGGCAGGGAGTACCTGGGAGACTGAACTGGGAGGAGGACATACCCGAAGTGATGCTGGGAAGAGAGGGCAACCTGGGCAGGGGTGGTGGAGAGGGTGTGGGCACAGAGAGGAAGGAGGGAGGGGATCTCCCCAGGCTATCTGGGGTGGAAGGAAGGGGAGAGTCTGATTGCAGCTGAGATGCCATTTGACTTCTTGTGAAACATTATCTCAAGAAAATCTACCTGGTTCCGCACCCTCCCTTGGCTCTCCATCATTTTCTGTCCCTCATATTGGACTCCAAAGGGGCAAGGCAGGAGGGGGAAAGAAGCAACTTCTCAACTCTCTTGTAGGGTGGGCAGGAGACTCGGAAGGGAAGAAGCTCTGCCAGGCGGAGGGCCAGGGAGGAATCTCTGAGGGGGTGGGGTGCATTCGTGCAGGGTTGCAGAAGGAGATAGAATGTGTGGTGGGGCAGGTACAAAGGGAATATACAACTAAATGAGCTTTCCATACCTGCCTGCAATCTCATGAGAGGTGGGCTCCCATAGGTGCGCAACTTGGGACTAAATATATGCCCTGACCCAGAGCTCAGGCAGCCCAACTATTCTACTCCAACCCAGTACCTAATGGGGGAGGGGGTCACAGCCAGTCACATGTAGAGGCACATAGTGTTACTTGCACACATAGATGGGCACAGACTGAGGAGAAAGGCTGAACGGTGGGACATGAATAACTGATCCCCTTTCACCACCCTCCAGAACCTTCCTTGAATTGTAGGTATCTTCTAGGGGAAGCCCTGGAGACAGAAATGTCAATTCTTTTGAAACCACCCTCTGAGACCTTGCAGGGAGAGCAGGGTCTCCACTAATCCTTGCAGAATGGGTTCTTAGTGGGGGACTGTGGGGGGCTGTCTGGGCTCCTTGGTCAGTGATCTCAGAGAGGGACTTCTCTATGAGGGGCCTCCGTGGGGTAACCTAAGCATTTTGCTATATCCTTAAGGATGGGGCTGTGGGAAGCTACAGCCTCCTGTTTGGGCCTACGTTGTACCACCTGCCTAGGGAGAGTGGGATCCTGGGTGGGACCTCCTTGCCTATGTACTTACCTCTTGCCCTCCACCCACACTACCCAGGAGTCTGTGGTACAGACACAGAGGAGCGGCTGGTGGAGCATCTCCTGGATCCTTCCCGCTACAATAAGCTTATCCGCCCAGCCACCAATGGCTCTGAGCTGGTGACGGTACAGCTCATGGTATCACTGGCCCAGCTCATCAGTGTGGTGAGTGAAGGTCCCAAACTCTCTGCCCAGCTACTGAAGTCAGTGTTTGTGCTTATTCTTCTGGAGTTCCCAAGGCTTGGGGAGGTGGGGGAAGGAGCCTGGGTGGTGTAGTGGGACCACAGGCTTGAGGGGTGGGGGTGGGGCACTTCTCAGCAGCTTCTCTTCTTCCCTGCAGCATGAGCGGGAGCAGATCATGACCACCAACGTCTGGCTGACCCAGGTTAGCACTCTTCCTGTCCACACCCCTGGGCTTCTCTTTCCTCCTTGTTTTTGAGGGGGGGGGAGGGGCATGTGCTTTTCCCTCTTTTCATGTCCTCAAGAGAGGCAGAAATTTAGACTCTGGAGCCCTAAATAACTGGATTTGAATTTTGGTTCTTCTGCTCACAGCTCTGTAACTTTGAATATGTTAAACTCAGCAAGATCCATTTTCTCATTTGTAAAACGTAACTTCTAATATCTTGGCTTGGCTATGCAAATTAAATGAGAAGACACTTTTGCTGGGCAGAGAAGTCACTGTGGGGATGCGATGACTTTTCAAAACTTCCTCAAGCCAGATAGTCCTCCTCTTGTCCCTGTCCTTGACCTTGAGCCCCTCCCAGGGCAGAGGCTGGTGCTGCCTCCCTCTCTCCCTTTCCCAGGAGTGGGAGGATTATCGCCTCACCTGGAAGCCTGAGGAATTTGACAACATGAAGAAAGTTCGGCTCCCTTCCAAACACATCTGGCTCCCAGATGTGGTCCTATACAACAAGTAGGTGACCCTGGAGGATGGGAAGGCTGGAGGAGACCATGGGAGTACTCAGGTCTTGGGGAAAGGAAGTTAGCTCATGCTGGGGGACAGAGGGACTTTTCATTGGCAAAGACAAGTCACTACCCAGACAGACAGACCCAAACCAGTGAGGTATAATGTGGACAGCCAAGGTAACTTGGGCCATGGCCAGCTCCCTCTCAGCCAGTTAGGACTCCCAGTGTTTGGAGCTGCAGTGGCATAAAAACGAGGATTGACAGACTCCAGTGCCTGAACTGATGCAAGAATAGGCCTTCCAGGAGGATTGGGGAGGGTCAAAGAACTTGGAGATCCCAGTTTCTCCTCCAGGAGGATTGGGGAGGGTCAAAGAACTTGGAGATCCCAGTTTCTCCTCCAGGTTCCAGCCCCTCTCCTGAAATAATCCCTCTTATCTCGAAGACCCAAAACCACTAGTCCATAGCCACTAGGGACCATCTCCTCCTCCCACCTGCCCCTGTCCCTCTCCATTAGTTGGGGCTCCTCACTCTGGCCTCCCTGGCTCCCCTAACTTCTCCACCTTCATGTGGAGCAACCAGCTTACAGAATGCATGACAAGTAGCAGATGTGCCTCCCCTCTTCATCACCCTCTTCTGTCTCTGAGGCCTCTTCTCCTCACCAACCCACCCAGATCCCCTTCTTGCTCAATTCCTGCCCCTCCTCCCTAGGCCCCTGGATGGCTACCCTCTTCCCATATATCCCTTTGGCTTTCCTCTCTTCCCACTCAGGGCTGGGTTGATGGGTGGGGTGGAGGAATGCTTAGGCCAGGGCTGACTGTGCTCATCCCTTGGCAGTGCTGACGGCATGTACGAGGTGTCCTTCTATTCCAATGCCGTGGTCTCCTATGATGGCAGCATCTTCTGGCTGCCGCCTGCCATCTACAAGAGCGCATGCAAGATCGAAGTAAAGCACTTCCCGTTTGACCAGCAGAACTGCACCATGAAGTTCCGCTCGTGGACCTACGACCGCACCGAGATCGACCTGGTGCTCAAGAGTGACGTGGCCAGCCTGGATGACTTCACGCCCAGTGGCGAGTGGGACATTGTCGCGCTGCCGGGCCGGCGCAACGAGAACCCGGACGACTCCACTTATGTGGACATCACGTACGACTTCATCATCCGCCGCAAGCCACTCTTCTACACCATCAATCTCATCATCCCCTGCGTGCTTATCACCTCACTAGCCATCCTCGTCTTCTACCTGCCCTCCGACTGCGGCGAGAAGATGACGCTGTGCATCTCCGTGCTGCTGGCGCTCACCGTCTTCCTGCTGCTCATCTCCAAGATCGTGCCCCCCACCTCCCTCGACGTGCCGCTTGTAGGCAAGTACCTCATGTTCACCATGGTGCTTGTCACCTTCTCCATCGTCACCAGCGTGTGCGTGCTCAACGTGCACCACCGCTCACCCACCACGCACACCATGGCTCCCTGGGTCAAGGTCATCTTCCTGGAGAAGCTGCCCAAGCTGCTCTTCATGCAGCAGCCGCGCCACCGCTGCGCCCGCCAACGCCTGCGCCTGCGGCGGCGCCAGCGCGGGCGCGAGGGAACCGGCGCCGTCTTCTACCGCGAAGCCCTGGGGGCAGACTCCTGCACGTGCTTCGTCAATCGCGCGTCTGTGCAGGGCTTGGCTGGGGCCTTCGGCTCGGAGCCGGCGCCGGCAGCTGGCCCCGGGCGCTCCGGGGGGCCGTGTGGCTGCGGCCTCCGGGAGGCGGTGGACGGCGTGCGCTTCATCGCGGACCACATGCGGAGTGAGGACGACGACCAGAGCGTGAGTGAGGCGCGGGGACTCGGGCGTGGGATGCGGGCTGCAGGGCCCTCGGTGCCTGCGCAGACAGACACCGAGGAGCTAACGGGAGTGCAGGATGTGGGCAGTGAGAGTCCGGCCGGGGCCTGTGGGCCTGGGCGCTGGCATGGCCTCTTCTCTGACTTCCGGGAGGCGGTGCCGCCTAAGTGGCGGTTGGTACAGGATGAACTTGCGGCTTCCTGAGGACTAGTATCCAGGGCGAAATGCCTCGGCTGGGGCATCGTGAGTGTCGTTAGTGTTGGGAGGGTGGCCAGGAAGTGGAGGAGGCCCTTCTGGGTTTGCAGCTGGCCCGTGGCTCTGACCCCAGACACCCTCTCTGCCGCTTGTACTCCCAAGCCCATGTTGTTAACCTGCATCTCTTAGCACAAAAAGAGATGAGTCCTTTGTGTGCCCCGCGTCGGGGGTCAAAATTGAGGGCTGTAGAAAGTGTGTATGGGAGGGGTGGCGGTGGTTAAGAGGTTCCACCGGCTGCTGGGAAGAGCACAGAGTCCTGAATCAATATCCTTTTCCTGCTCTTCTGGGTCCTCAGGGGATGCCCTTGTGAAATATTTATGGAGGTGGGGGCAGGTGGAGGCGAGGGTTTTTAAGACCCACTCTGAGCTTTCTGCACACTGGTATCTTTCTGCAGTGACTCCCAGAAGGGGAGCACTGAGCTAGGGGATGGGGGGGAAGATGATGGGTTGACTTCCCCCCACTTTGGGCTGTGGCTGGCCCCATCCGGCAATCAGTCTTTGGGTACCTGGCTGGTTCCAGGCTGTGACTTAGCTGTTGCTCTGGTGATTGGCCATGTTTCCACTGGATTGCAGCCATTCCGGCTTGGGGGATGAGGAAGGGTGGGCTCCTGCACTACCGGTTTTTTTTGTGGGGGGGGGATGCTTCAGAGCCTGGTGTTTCTATTCCCTGGGAGGGCAGGAGCTGAGGCTTGAGCTAAGGAGCAAGTTATGGTCCTGAAGGAAGAAGAGAGGGACCAAGTCATGAGGAAATGGGGCGGGAGCCTCAGGTGGCTGAGGCCAAGTGGGAGATGCCGGTGGTGCAGGGGGTTGACCGGCTGCATCACTGCCTCCGCCTCCCCCACTGCAGTCCACTCATGTAATGTGCGTTTACTGAGTTAGGTGATGAGGATGCAATGACCTACCTTCACAGGCATCTCAAACTTAACATGTCCCAAACTGAGTGCTTAATCTACATCCCCACCACCAACTTGCTCCTCCTCCAATCTCCCCATCCTTTAGTAAATGACATCACCATCCACCCAATGTTTTAGACCAAAAACCTGGAGTCATCCTTGACTCCTCTCTTTCTTACGTCCCCCACCATCCAAATCATCAGAAGTCCTGTCCTGTGGAACGAACCTCCAAAGAGATTTTCAGCTTCCTTCTTTATTCACCATCTCCATGCTGCCTCCCTAGCTGTAGGCCTCCATCAGCTGTTGCCTGGACCAGGGCAGAGACTCCTAATGGTCTCCCTGGTTCAGTTCTCGTGCTTCTCCACCCAAACACACAGTGTCTCCTGTGCACTTTGTGCCATCTCTCCCCTGCTCAGGTCACTGGCTTATCTGCTCAACTGTTCTAAGCCAGCTAAGCTCTTTCCTGACTCAGGACGTTTGCACAGATTGGTCCCCCTGTTTGGAATTCCCTTCTTTTTTTCCTTTTAAAAATTATTATTAATTTTTGCACTACTGTTTAAGAGTAAGTTGTGGACATAGTGATCCTTTATCCCAAATACCTCAGCTTTTCTCTCCTGAGAACAGAGATATTGTCTTGCATAACCCAGGCTCAGTGATGCAATTCAGGAAATTTAGCATCAATACAATACCTTTATCTGATATAAAGTCCATACTAACATTTTTTCAGTTGTCTCCGTAATGTCCTTTGTAGCATCACCCCCACCTCAATCCAGGATCTTGAATTCCACTTTGTTGTTCTGTCTCTTTAGTTTCCTTCAATCTGGAATGGTCTTTCATGGCATAAACATTTTTGAAGGGTACAGGCCAATCGAAGGTCCCTCGGTTTGGGTTTCTCTGATTGTTTCTGATTGTCTCAGCTGGCTCCTTCTCACTTATCAGATCTTAGCTTAGGGTGTCACCTCCTCAAAGAGGCCTCCCCAGATCACACCCTGAATTATATCTCTCCCTCCATTTCTTCGTCCTTTATTTCCATATAGGCACCCACCAATGTGTAATTATTTTATTTTTACTAATTTTGTGTCCATCTCCCTCAGGAGACTGTAAACTGCAGGATGTGTTTGTCTTGCTCTCAGTCACATCCCCAGTGCCTAGCATGGTGCCAGGTACATAGGAGGCACAAGTGTGACATGAATGAGTCATTATTCAGCTGCTGACTGAAGGAAGGTGCACAGTGCCTCATCCCATCCCCCCAGCTGGCTGGGCTACAGATGAACACGTGTACAAAGGTCCAGACTCAGGCCGGAGTGGAGCAGCTCTGAGTGGAGGCCAGGCCTCCTGCAGACCCTGTGACTGGCTCCCAAACCCACAGAGGTTATTTTCTTCTGGACGGGTTTGTTTACACCTGAGATCTAGTCCTCACCCTCTGGGGCTGTTGGATGGGGCTCCCCAGGCAGTCATATAAGGAGTGAGGGCTGCAGAGGCAGCCATTCATTCACTAATTCAACACCCGTTTACCGGAACCCTGTGTTTGAGATGCTGGGATTACAAAGATGAATCAGATCGGGTCCCTGTAGTTTAGGAGCTCATAGCTTAAGTGGCGGAAGGCGGGCGGGAGAGGAAGGAGGGGCCAGGCATACAAATTGAAATGACAATACAGTGCAGTAAAAATACCGTGATAAGACGTGTACATAGTGCTGAGGGAACCCAGAGGAAACAGTGGTTCATTCTCATTAGGGGGATCAGGGAAGCCTTCATAGAAGAGGTGACATTTGATTTAGGCTTTGAAGGATGTGTAGGAGTTCACAGGTAGCGATAGGGAGGACTGGAGTTCTAGACCAAAAGGAAACCCAAAGGCACAGAGACCTGAGAAGACAGGCTGGAGTTTGGTAAGGCTGGGTCAGAGGGTGGAAGATAGGTGGTTGGCTCATATTTGTCCTGGGTGGGTCTTGATTTTAGACTTGGGAGTTTGGGTGGCTGCTGAACGCAGTGGGGCCACTGGAGGCTTTTAAGCAGGCAAGACTGGGGCCATGCTTTGGAAAGGTCACTCTGGGGTCGTGGAGTGAGAGGAGTGATGTGTGGTGGAAGCTGCTTCTACCTGCTCCACTCCCCTCCCGGATCATGTGATTGATACCTGGGTCTCCTTCCTCTCCTCTGTCCAGGTGAGTGAGGACTGGAAGTATGTCGCCATGGTGATCGACCGTCTGTTCCTTTGGATCTTTGTCTTCGTCTGTGTCTTTGGCACCATCGGCATGTTCCTGCAGCCTCTCTTCCAGAACTACACCACTGCCACCTTCCTCCACGCAGACCACTCGGCTCCCAGCTCCAAGTGAGGCCCTCCCCAGCTCCATGCTCCTTCACCCCTCTGTTGAACAGTAGTTTTGGGTCGAGGAGGGATGAGTGAGCTACGAGAAAGAGGGGCGCTGCCCCCACAGACCCATCTTTTCACTTCACCTGGAGCCCGCCCCCCCGCCAGCGCCAACCTGGAGGCTGGACCAGCTGCGTCGTGTTCTGGCTGCTCTCCTCCTCTTGTACCAACCCAGGCAATAGTGCTGCTGGTTGAGCATGAAGGCTGAGAAGTGGAGGATGGAGTGGCTGGAGGCTTCCACCCTGAGGAAAGTGTGATGGGGAAGGGGCCAAGAAGGGGACAGAATCAACAGCTGCCTCCAAGTCATGGGAAAAGGGAGGCGCATGGGGGCAAGACAGGGGCTCCAACTGTGCTGGGCTGGCCTGACACAATGGCAGATCAGAAGGGAGGAGCAAGGGGAGAGAGGCCTGGGTGCGACCTGATGTCTGTCCCTGCTTAACTGCACAGCAGCTAGCTGGGTGGGCCTCACGGCAGCCAGGGGTTCCTGCCCAGAGGTTAGCCTGGAGCTGAGGTCAGAGTCCTGAGCGAGGCTTCCAGCCCAGTCCCACAGCCCCTTGCTTCTAAGGGCCCCAGCGTTCAGCCCCAGGTCCCCTTCTCCCAGTGAAGATTCTTCCTAGACTTCCTTTCTTGCTCAGGCCAGGGTGTGGGGGGCAAGGCTGGGTGTTAGGGGAGCCCCGGAGTTCTGAATCTTTGGGTGACCTGCTTGGAGGTTAAGGGCCAAATTCTTGAACTGTGCGAGTTCAAGTTCACAGGCTGTTCCTCGGCCGCAATTTGAACCGACTGGTCATGGGAACGAGTAAACTAAGGACATTAGCTGTAAGCAGACCCAGCCCTCTCGCCCGCAGCAGAGCAGGCCGGGCAGGAGAGGGCTGCCTGTGGAGGCCAGCCCAGCAGGGTGTGAGTGCCCAGAACTCTGCCACGTCAGCATGGCTCCTGCCCCCCTACTTCTGTTCCTGGCTCCATCCTTCCTGCTCTGGCTCCTCCTCTTGCCCCGCCCAAGCAAACCTGAGCAGGGTTGAAGCAGAGCTTCGGACGACAGGTCTGCTACTGCCGGTCTGCACAGCGGACTGTACACAGAGCCCAGCTTTCGGCTTCCTGTCCTGTGGGTCCCTGGAGGGTGTATCCCGACGCTGCTCCCAGGGGCCAGCTGGAGGCCACCTTGCCTGTTAGCCCAGGAAACAGACCTCTTCAGGGATCACCTGCCTTGGTCCCCGCCATGTGACTGGCTCTGATCTGTGGTCCCAGCCTGGGCTCAGTGCTGGGCCAGCGGGGTCACAGAGGGGTCCGTCTGCCAAGCGCACCTGAGGGGCCTGCCCGCCACACCGTGCTATTCTCTGGAGCCTGGCTGGACGCCTGCTTCTGCAGGCACCTCGGAGGTGGGGAGACAGCACAGGCACAGAGCGCTGGACAGGGAGCAGAGTCTGAATTCCGGTCCCCGCTCTGCCACTTACTCTCAGCCATCCTGAGCAATTCTGGCTAGGCCTCAGCTTCCTCATCTATAAATCGGGGATAGTAAGGCCCTCTTCGTGGGGTTGTTGTGAGGCAGGAGTGATGTTTGTGAAAAAAGCCCAGGGCTGTACCTGGCGTAGAGTAGATGCTTCGTGAATGTCAAGTCAGACGTGGTCAGAGTTGACGGGTATGGGCTTACCTGCCTTGTCATGTCACTCTTCCTTCCAGACCCACCCATACCCTGGAGCAGATAGCCCCCGGAAACAGGGATGGGGTCTGGGGGAGCTGGAGCCGGAGAGGAGCAACACAGGGAATGTTGGGGTGAGCCTAACAGGTAGGCTGCCCTCTGGAGCCTCTTCAGCAAAGGTTCGTTCCGTTCCCGGGCTAGGCTCAGGCTCCGGCCTCCCTTCTGGATCGGCTCCTCCTGACACAGGTGTGTGCCCAGGCCCCCAGGTGATCTAGTCCCGTACTGGCTGTGGAGGAACGCCACTGGGACACGAAGCCAGCAGCTGTGAGAGATGTGCTTCAGCGCATTTCCCCACCTGCCGGAATGGGCTGGCAGACATCTCTTCTGGGGGTGAGTGTCTCGGCACCATGGAGACTCCCTTCTTCTAGAACAGCAAATGGAGAGTTGCCTCTATTATGGCTGGACCCACCTCGGACTCACAGCCCTGAGGAAACATCCCGGAACCCGAAACAGCTAATGAAAAGGAACCCTCCCTCTGAAGGGTAGGTGCTGGCCTGAGGCCCTCCTGCCCAGCTCTCCCGGGTTCCTTGCCAGGGTCTAGGCTGCTAGGGAGGCCCCATCAGCTGTTGCTGTGGCTGGACTTGCTTTCAGTACTTCCTGCAATTGGCTGTCGTCCGAGTAAGTCACCAGACAGTGCCAGAGGGGCTGCTGGAGAGCAGCTTGTCCAACTCCTCGCCATGGCCCCCCCGACACACAGGGAAGTGGAGGCCCAGAGGTTGTTTGCTGGCTGACCTTGTACAAGCACTTAACTCTGAACTTGCTCATCCTCATCAGTGACGTGGGGATGACAGCTGGCTGAGGGCTACAGCAAAGATGGGAGGGACTGATGGAAGGGGTTAGCCGGGCAGGGTCCCTGGGGCAGTACCATTCCCTCCATCTCTGGGTGCAGCCCCTAGGGGACCACGCCAGTGGGGAGGAGGGGAGGACGGGTGGAGGAAAGAGGGCTCAGGCAAGGTGTTACCACGTGTCAGTACAGCCTTGGAACCCTCAAGGGTGTTGGGAAGCTTTGGAGAACCAGCCTCTTCTACTCTTGGGTCCTCCGTCCTCTTCTCTTGGTGTTGTCAGGGAAGCCTCTTGGCCCCTTCCATGGGGTGGGGCAGGGCATCTCTGGAGAGAATGGGGTACCCAGCTGCGCTCCAGGCCAGGACTGAAGGCCCCAGATCTGAAGAGGGAGGGAGAGATACTGGATTGGCACCCAAGCAAGGTGGGCTTGGGAGAGGGCAGTGAGGAAACAGTTGGGATCATCTCCATCAGAGATGAGAAGGCCACAGGCCATCTGAGAACCACTTCTTGTTTGAAAAAGAGGGTATGAGAGACTGCTTTTGACGGCTGGAACTGCGGCAGGAGGAAGGCAGTCTCCTGGCAGCGAGGTTTCTAATACTGGAACAGCTGGTACCAAGTTATTGCAGATTTAAAAGCAAATAAGACACGGGCAGCCCCCAGCTGGCATTTCTGTGGAGGAAGGCTATCTGTGCAGAAAGGGCAAGGCCATTTCCCTCTAAGGAAACAGGGAGGGTGTGGGGCTTTGACTCCTGTTCTGCTTCTCCCAATCCCAGTGTTAGCTGCTGTGCACAGTGGCCTGCTCTGGGCCAGTTGCTTCGGATACACTGTCTTTACCCCTCACTGTCCTGCAGGGAAGGGGCCCCTGTTGACAGAAGAAAAGTGAGGCACAGAGAGACCAAGAGATAGCTGGTGAGTAGTGCTGGACTTGAAACCCAACACTGATCCCAGAGTCCACGCTCTCTGTGGCCTTTGAGGCAGGGAGGAGGAGAGCTCCTTGGGAGGGAAGTGAGGGGCATTCAGCGTCTTCTCTGAATTCTCTCCCCACTCAGTTCCAGCCGTCACCCTCTGCTTGTAGGCAGAGTTGGGCTGGCGTCACAGCATCCCTCACAAGCCAACTGGTGCTGGCCAGTCGCCCACCCAGACTAGACAGAGAATAACAGCCACCCTTCAGTATTCATCCCAACAGGTCTCAGAGGTCAGTGTGACAGTCACATGGTTCCTAAGGGACTGTCGGTCTAGGAATCATTAGAACACCTCACTCACCCACCCGCAGTGCCCCCATCTCTCCCACACTGGCCTCGGCTGCCCCCGTCTGTGCTCCTGGAATATTTGCACTGACCTAGCCCACTCCAGGCCAGACTCATTAGGAACTCAAGATTCTCATAAAGAAAGTTGTTTCCAAAGGTGTCTTATCTCTCTGTTACATCTGGGGGGTGGGGACATCCTCTCGGGCCAGGGTTGAACAAGGGAAGGGAGAATATTGGGGAAACTGGACTCGTGAGAGGTTAAACACATCGCACGAATCTAAAGAAAAGATCAGTGGTAACATCAGTGATTGTGATTTGTAGCCTGACAAGTCCATTCATCAGATGGAAAAGATAGGGCCAAATGGCTGCGCCTAGAGTAGACAGAGCCCAGAAATAGCTCCTGGGGAGGCCCTTTGTAAAGAAGGGGCCCTGGCGGACAGGGCAGACATGAGGCCCGGTCTCCTGGAGGGATGGCTGGGGACTCCTCGCACAGCCCCTGCACTCTGCGAAGTCAGGGCTGTCTGTGTGGAAGGCACTCCTGCTCCTGGAACATGGGTTTGACCCGGGCCCACATCCTGGAAGCGATATTAAATGGTGGGCCCCCGAGATGAAATGTAGGGTGAACAGCAACTGAAGTGCTGAGCTGAAGAAAACCCCTCTTGTGCTCCCGTGGGGTAGCCTTGCTTCCCAGCCCACCCAGAGCTGGGTGGCGGGGGGACAGTCTTACGTCATGCACTCACTGTAGGTATGGAAGAAACGGTCCATTTTCTACAAAGCCTGGATACTACATTTCCCTCCAGGTGGGACCAGATGCCTGGGAACAGAGAGGACAGAGATGCTCGAGGCTCCAGGTACCTCACGGTAGGCGGAGACACTGTCCTTCACTGTCTGTCAAAACTGTCCAGCTCACCAGGTACTGTATTTCAACAGACTGTGACCGACACCCATGCAGAGTTCTGGTCCTTATTTAATGTGCCCCCCAAACATGTCGCTGGCCCTCCTGGCCTCAGTTGTTCCATCTGTATTGTGGATGAAGAGGGAGGTTTCACTGCGACTTAGGAAGCCTCACTGTCAAATATTTCGTGTCCTCTGGTATGGTATTTTTACAAGGTCAAGGAAGAGTCTTGTAGAAATCCTGGACTAAATAATCTGCAATCTGGAAAGTGGTGCATATTCTCTTTGAAATCAAGACGGAGAAATATTCTGGATGCCATCTATGAAGTAAAAAGCAAATGGCCTGTCTCCTAAGACTGCAGCCAAGCCAGTTCTGGTCCAGGCTGCAACTTGCACCTCCCCGCAGGCAAAACAGCTGGGAGCGGAAGGCTCTAGAAACCCCTCAAGGGGAGCCGGAGTTGCGGATGTGATTTGTGGTGTGGTCTCAGGGGACGCTTTCCTACTCTGGGCCTTGAAATCTTGCACAGCAAGTCTCTGGGGACAAGATATTTGATGGTGGGATCTGATGGGGAAGGGGGGCTGTGGACCTGGGGAAGTAATTAAAGGTTGTCTGATATACTCCAACACACCGGACACAAGCTCACCTCCTAGGCAGCCCCTTTGAAATGGCTCCTCTCTGTTGGCTGAGGGAGACCCTTTCCTCAGGTTCTGTGTCAGATGCAGCTGGTGCTCTTGCCAGAAATCCCAGGACCACGGCTCTCTCTGTCCCCACTTTCTCACCCCCCAAGAAACCAAGACTTGAGGTTTTCTAACAATTCAGATTCTTCTTTTTTTTTATTTACGAGGAATGTATATTGTTAGTCACTTTTACCAAGGGACACATAAAAGTGGAATCATAAAACTGACTGCACCCATCGTGGCACCCAAGTCTACGCTTGGGCTCTTCCCCACTCTGCTCTTGGAGTTACTACCAAGACCCCCAAAACCAGCAAAATCCCTTCAACATGAGTAAAGGAAATAGCTTGAAGCAGTGACAGTTTTTACAAGTGATTATTCAAAAAATGCACAATAGCCACAGTTCAGACAAATCAACTACAAAGATCATTAAAAAAAAGAGAAAAAGGTCTTGCTTACTAAAAACAAAGATTGGACGAAAAAGTGAAGAGAACACTCTAGGTGGGAGTTCTGCCTCTGTCCCATGTGACTCAGAGGGGCAGGGGTGGGCACGGCCGCGCAGGGCCTGACACAGGCTTGTTTCCAGCAGATGCATGGGTACAGGGAAGCCTTGCTCTCTCCCTACAACAGAAGCTGAATA